ATGTGGCTGATATAGTTGATGTTATGAATCCAGAACAGAACATAAAAATTAAAGCCTCTTCTACCAACAAGGGTCCTTACGAATTTACCAAGTTGCAGCATGTACAAGTAAGATTTTTTAAAGGCCAACAATATTGAGGTTATTGATTTATTTTTCATCTTTTCAAAAGGATTTGTCTGGAGAACATACCGGGGCTGTTTGGTGTATGAAATTTAGTTCATGTGGCCGTTTATTAGCCACCGCTGGTCAAGATAAAGTTTTGCGTATTTGGGTTCTTAAAGATGCCTATCCATTTTTCCAAGTGAGTTATTATTGTGATTAACAACATAGTTAATTATTAATATAATTTAAAATTCTTACCAGGATATGCGTACTAAATATAATGCTGATCAAAAATCCTCACCAACGCCTTCACAAGAATCCTTGGTATCACAGCATTCTGCCGAGGAGGCTATAGCTATGGCAACAGCGGCTGAAAAATGTACTGGACCTTTTATGCCGAAATCCTTTTGCACTTACATCGGTCACACCTCCGATTTACTGGATGTGTCCTGGTCGAAAAACTACTTTATACTCTCAAGTTCCATGGATAAAACAGTACGTTTATGGCATATTTCACGTAAGGAGTGTCTTTGCTGTTTCCAGCATATTGACTTTGTAACGGCCATTGCATTTCATCCTCGTGACGATCGTTACTTCCTCAGCGGCAGTTTAGATGGTAAACTACGTTTATGGAATATACCCGATAAAAAGGTGGCCTTATGGAATGAAGTCGACGGTCAAACGAAACTAATAACAGCGGCAAACTTTTGTCAAAACGGTCAATTTGCTGTAGTGGGTTCCTATGATGGTCGTTGTATTTTCTACAATACCGATCAATTGAAATATCATACTCAGATACATGTACGCTCGACACGTGGTAAAAATCGCATTGGACGCAAGATCAGTGGCATTGAGCCCATGCCGGGTGAAGATAAAATCTTGGTTACATCTAACGATAGTCGTGTGCGTTTATACGATTTGAGAGATTTGAATTTGTCCTGCAAATATAAAGGTTATCTAAATGCTTCATCGCAAATTAAGGCATCTTTCAGTCATGATGGCAAATATATTATAGCGGGTTCAGAAAATCAATGTATTTATATATGGAAAACAATCATGATTATTCAAAATTAAGTTCGGTAAGTTGTCTCTCGTGTTTGGCTAATTAAAGTGTAAGTGGAATTTAATTTTCAATACTTTTAGGTACGTCGTGATAGAAGTGATTTTTGGGAGGGAATTAAAGCCCATAACGCTACAGTTACTTGTGCAATATTTGCTCCACATCCTGAGGCCATTATTAAGCCCGAACCTGATGAAATTTCACATGAAAAAGTAAATAATATATATATTTATTTTTGCATAAGAACTACATTATTAATATTTCTTACTTTTTCTCTTGAAGCAAACAAATAATCAACCAGATCCCTTGGTAGAACAACATAAAAAAGGTTGCGGTTATGTCATGGTCAGTGCCGATTTTAATGGAGCCATAAAAGTGTTTATCAATAAAACAAAACCTAAACACAGCAGTCTACCTTATACTGCAATAGCCGATTAAATTATAATTATATAATAATAATAATATTAATAAACTAATAATAATGTTATATTCTAAATTGTATGCGATATACAAACATACATATATTTTGTTAAATATTTAAATTTCTTCTTCTACATTTTAACTTTTTCATTTTAAATTCTTTCTATTTTTTGGAAAAATAATTAAAAATATAAGAAACAAAACAACTAATAACATTAAAATATTAAATAATTTATTTACAGAATTGATATTATTGCAACACACATATATAAATATTTTTATACAGGTTTACATTTTGATATTTTCTTAAATTTTTCTTTCTTTTTAATTTACAATTAACTTGTTTCTGTTTTGTGTTCAGCTTTTTTTTATCGTTTTGGTTTAATGTTTCCGTTTGTCTTATTTTTTGTTGTAGATATGATTTTTTTATATATTATTGATTGATTTTACTTAATCTGCTACAGTATTTCTTGATTATTGTGTAATATAACTCTTATTTAAATATTAAAACTAACTAAAACAAACATTTACATGAAAATAAAAATTCTTTATTTTGAGTAGCATGATAAATTTATTAATGACTTTCAATTATGGAGTAAACAAAGCAGTGGGTAGTTTTCTAAAAATATCGCTTAATCATAACAATTCAAAAATTCGTACTTTTTAAATAACTCAATGAATCCTGACGTATCGTAGATGTACGCTCTGTAGTAACCTTGTCATTTAACTCCAAACTACTCATAGCAGGAGTGGAGGTTTTGACAAAATCACTAGTTTCCAATTCAATTTCTGGAGGCTTTTCCGTTGTGGTCGAACTTACAATTTCATGATTGGGATCAACAAATTGAATGCCACCCGTACCGACATCCATACAACCCATTTGGAAGTTGACCAAATTGAATGCTATAAATTGATGGT